CTAATGACTCATCTTCAAATTATTGTCTCCATTTGAAGCTTCTGGATTTTTTACGCTTTTTTTTTTCCAGTTTTTTTAATGACTTGGAAATATTTGAGTAGATCAACGCATTTGATCTAAATCAACATAGTAATATTGATCAACACAATTCATTTTTGCACATTTGAAAAACATATGATATGTGGTGCGCTTCGAAAAAAAGTTTATAAGTATTTTTGTAAATTTACTTTTTATATTTTTTAAATAGCATGTGTCCCGCTATAAAAAGTAAATAGATTTTATGTTATTTTAGTAGTTGTATCATTTTCACTCTAATTTTGCATTTTTATGTGCATTTTTGAACCTCCAAAAAGCATATGTTTGGTGCATTTTATGTAAAAGTTAATGAGTTTTTCTGCACACTTAGCTTTTTAAAAAAAAAATAATAATTTGTGCTACCTTTTTTATTGCAGGTTCTATCTTCATCAACCATTTTTTTATTGTAGGTCCCGTATCCACTTTTTCATTGGGGCTTTACATTCTCCTTTATTTTTTTTTACTACGTCAAAATTAGAAAATGCTATGTAAAATAAAACTAAAGCCAAAAGAAAATAAACATTGGATGGGTGCTCATCCGACCAAAATTATAAAGGAAAGAGAGTTCACTAAAATATTTATTTAAATATTATGCTGTTTTCTGTTTAAGATTCATTACATTGACGACAAAGAAAGCGTTGATTGTTAAATTATGAGAATAAGGAGGTGCTTGGATGGAATCAAAACCATAGTTTTAAAAGTGCTTTTATAATGTACGAAATAAATATGTAAAAGAGTTTGCCTCGTTTTGCGGAAAAGTGCTTTTGGGTGCTTCCAAACACCCTCTAAATTAATCGTTTTAAACACCAACCTGCATTGATCTTAATGAAAGAGGTTTTGAACACTTAAATATGAGATGTTGAGTTTAATTTGAGTTCATGTGAATTAAAAAAAAAAACATCTTTTAGAGAGTCATTCTCAATTTGGCCTTCTAGATAGTCATATAAACATTTTCAACGTAAACTTCAATTAAGAAAAATATTTTTAGAATTTGTTACCAAAACATTATTAAAAAATGTTGAAAATATATATTAAACTTAAGGATGTGAAAATATTTGAAAGGTTTTTGTAATTTTAGCAAAATTGAGGTAGATCAAGTGTTATACTGAAAAAATTAATGTTGATAGTCACACATCATTTGATGACAGATACAAAAGAAGACTCATAAAAAGTGACCACTTTAAAACGGACAGAAGAGATGAACCATTGTCATGGTAGTGATAGAAAAATTTTTGTATTCTATTTGAAGTAAACGTTAGGGTTAGGAATCTTTTACTTTTCTTGTGTGGAAAAATTTGTTCATAATTTGAAAAGGAATTTGGCAAGAGAGAAGTGGAGAAGAAAATTCTATGATTCTTCTTCTGTCCTAATCGATTTGTCCCATCGTATAGTGATAGTAGAAGAAAATTTCTATTTAATTTGCCTGACATTCATATAAGACATTATATATATATAAATATTCTTATGATTATATTTAAACATAATATTCATTTAAAATTATTTCTGTTCTTGTTTTTAAAATATTTTAATTAGTTGAAAAGGAAAAAGATTATACATGCGTTTTTGGTTTCTTCAGGATGACAATATTGTGAGATGAGGAAACCTTTTTTTTTGTTAATGTGAAAAAGTTTTCTGTTAAATTTGAAAAGAGCTTTGGAAAATAAAAGAAATAATGAGTCAAGAACTTTCCACACAAGTTTCGTATGGTTAACTCGTGTGAAAAAAGTTTGCCAACTATGTTTTTACTTTCCAGAATTTGTAACCATGCATCTAACATTATAAATATAAATATTAATTGAGTAAATTTATTCATGATAATTCGACTAATTTGTCTGTAGGAAATCCTATGAAGTCCAACACTTGTATAAGAAACTCTTTGGATCTAACAAACAAGTTAGGTAGTGGAGTCATTTGTAATTATCATGGAAGGGACAATAGAAAACTTCGTGCATATTCACTCATTTTTCATGAAATTTAAAAAAGAGTTTATTATAAGAAAGAATATATGAACATATTTTTTAAATTAGAATCAATTATAATATTTATGAAGATTTGTCAATTAAATTTTATTTATCAACACTTAATTAAATTGTCAAAGGCAGATTCTTCAAGATTTATCACTCGTACATATATAAAAAAGTATAAACACCTTACTTATATATATATATATATATATATAAAGTACATATGTAAGAATATATTGTATACCAAGATTAGTTGTACTGTTCCTTTAAATTATTTTCATCAATTTATACGTATGTACGTAATTTGCTAATAGTAGCAATAACGTTTTATAACTTTTACAGTCATATTTGGAGACGAAAATAACAATTAAAATCGCTTAAATCCATGATATTTTAAGGAAATGATGAGACCTATTAGGCTATAACTCTACATAAATAATAAAGAATTATGTATACCTTTTACATACATAGTTGTCTCAAGTTTCACATCTCACTGTCATTGTGTATTGACCAAGACGCCTATAGAATGAACGCTTTGTAGGAAGTCATTCGCTATTATGTGAAAGTTTTGCTTAGACCCCCACTTTCTAACACTATAAATACCAGTAATCTTGTGTAGAGTTGTAAGCCAGCTTTAGTAGAGAAACTAATCATGGGTCTGTGTGAAAATACCATTGTGTTCATTTTGATTTGCTCACTCACCTCATCACTAAATCCCTTATGCAAATGCGAAGCATCTGATCAAGTTCTTTGCATTCCTAGTGAGCGACAAGCCCTGCTTAATTTCAAGCAGCATCTTCATGATCCATCAAACAGGCTTGCCACTTGGTCTGCTGATAATACAAATTGCTGCAACTGGACATTAGTTTCTTGCAATCATGAAAGAGGTCACATTCTTGAACTTCACCTCTCAACTTCAATTACTTTCTCGTATGGAGGTTATGATGTTTCTGAGATATCACAATTTGGGGGTGAAATACATCCTTTGATACTTAAGTTGAAAGAACTAAGTCACTTGGATTTGAGAAACAACAATTTTGGAGGCCTACAAATTCCAAGTTTCCTTTGCTCAATAAAGAGATTGACCTATCTCAACCTCTCGTATGCGGGATTCAGTGGAAGCATTCCTCACCAAATAGAAAATCTCTTTGGTTTGCTCCATCTTGACCTTGGAGGTAATTATTTTACTGAAAAGATTCCCCATCAAATTGGTAATTTATCAAATCTACTTTATCTTGGTCTCTCTGGTGGTCATCAATATGACGAGGATGGGATATCAATGTATGAAGAAAATCTTCAATGGACATCATCTATTTTTGGGATATCAATGTATGAAGAAAATCTTCAGTGGATATCATCTCTTTTTTCACTCCAATATCTTCAATTGAGTTTTGTTAATCTGTCTAATGCCTTTGATTGGTTGCCTGTTTTGCAATCTCTTCCCTCACTGACAGAGTTACACCTACAACGGTGTGTTCTTCATCAAAATTTCCATCCAGCCATTGCCATAAACTTTTCATCTCTAACAATCCTTGACCTTTCCTTCTCTTTTGATTTTGGATCTCCTTCCATTCCAAAGTGGATTTTTCGGCTAAAGAATTTGGTTTCACTTAAATTAAGATATAATTATTTGCCAGGATCCATCCCAAATGGTATTAATAACCTCTCTCATTGAAGATCTTGATTTGTCTCAAAATTTGTTTAATTCTTCTATCCCTGATTGCTTATATACTTTGAACAATCTCAAGTTTCTTGATCTTTTTGCAAACAATCTGCATGGAACAATTTCACATGCAATTGGAAACTTGACTTCTATGGTTACTCTTGTTTTGTCAGACAATCAATTAGAAGGGCCATTTCCAAACTCTTTAAGCAAGCTCTGTAACTTAAGAAGTGTTTATCTCCCTAACAATAACTTCAATCAACAAGTTTCTGGGTTAATAGAAATAATCTCTAATTGTGCTTCTCACACACTCGAGGTTTTGTCAATTGGTGGTTCTAAAGTTTATGGTAATTTGACAGCCCAAATTGGGATTTTCAAAAATCTCCGTGTCCTTTCTATCTCTTATAGTTCTATTCAAGGTGCAATTCCTATATCTTTCAAAAATCTTACCTCTTTGAAATATCTTCAAGTTTGGGGAAATAAATTTGATGGGAATCCTTTTGATGTTTTGCAATCACTTTCTGAATTAGAATATCATGATATCCGTGATAATCTTTTCCATGGAATTGTAAATGAACATCACCTCGCCAATTTCGCTAAATTAAATCATTTCAGCGCGTTAGGTAACACACTTACTTTAAAAGTAGGTCCCAATTGGAAGCCATCTTTTCAAAAGTTGATCTCCTTGGACATAGCCTTATGTCATTTAGGTCCCCACTTTCCATCATGGATTCGATCACTGAAACATCTTGAGGATTTGTCCATACCTAACAACAACATCTCTGATACTATCCCCACATGGCTGTGGAGTGCATTCCCCGATGCTTCTTATTTTGATTTCTCTAACAATGATATCCATGGAGAGCTTTCTTATGCATTGAAGAATCCCATCAATGTCTACACCATTGATTTAAGCTCAAATCGCTTAAGTGGTCCTTTACCACACATATCACCAATTGTGAAATACTTAGACCTCTCAAATAATTGGTTTTCTGGATCCATAGCCTCCTTCTCATGTCAGGAAAAGGAAGAGCCAATGACCTTAGCATATCTCAATTTCGTATCAAATAATTTGTCAGGTGAAATACCTGATTATTGGAAGATGTGGTCAAATAATCTAATGATCGTCAAGCTTGATAATAACCATTTCAATGGGAACTTGCCCACATCCTTGGGATCCTTACCTTGGCTGTACTCATTGCAACTCTGTAACAACTCTCTTTCAGGAAATTTTCCTCTTTGTTTCAGGAATAGTACTAATTTGGTATTTTTGGATCTTAGAGAGAATCAATTTTCAGGAATCATTCCACCATGGGTTGGAGACATTCTCTTAAATTTGAAGATCTTTCTCCTCAGATCAAACCAATTAAATGGTAAGATTCCCAATAAAATATGCTCTTTGAATTTGCTACATATCTTGGATCTCGCACAGAACAACTTGACGGGACAAATACCAAAATGCATCAATCAATTGAGTGTTATGCTAGTAAAGAATACCACTCTAGAGTCATACATCTATGGCAAAAGAAATGGAACTTCTCTATCTATAACTGATGTGCTTCTAGAGCTAAAAGGAAGAGATGATGTATATACTTTGTTGGGCCTCGTCACAAGCATAGATCTCTCTGGTAATAAATTATGTGGGGAGATACCAAGAGAAATTACATCTCTCAAGGGGTTGCATTTCCTGAACTTGTCAAACAATCTTTTGAGTGGTAAGATTCCTCAAAATATTGGAAACATGGAATGGTTGGAGTCAATGGATCTCTTAGAAAATCAGCTTTATGGTAAAATCCCATCAAGAATGTCCAATTTGAATTTCTTGAGCAAGAATGGTTGTTTTACTATTTTTATAATGTTTTATTTTTTAAAAAATATTTTTAATATAATTTTTATTTCTAACGACACTAATTTTGAATTTTACATCATAAATAATTTTTCATAAATATTTTTAAAATTTATTTTTTAATTAACATTGATAAGATATACAATTTAATTATATATATATTATATTACATTACATTATATTATATATATGTGGTTTATATATTTGAAGAAAATCATTTACAATTAGTCAAAAAATCTTGTTATTCAAAAAATAACTGCTATAATAAAATCTAATAAATTATTCTATATAAAAAATTAAATGATTTAAATAGATTATGATAAACAGTATTTTTCTACTTGTATATATATCCTATGTAATTTATTTTCTTAAAATTTGTGACGGAATTTGCGACAGAAACAAATTCCATCGCTAATTTTTGACAGAATTGTGACGGAATTTCCATCGCTAATTTTTTTGATGGATTAGCGACGAAATTGTCTGATGGAAAAAGATTCCGTCGGTAATTCCGTCGCTAAATACGGATTAGTAACAGACAGAAATTCTGTCACTAATCCGTAAAAAAAAATTAGCGACAGAATTCTTTTCGTCACAAATTCCATCGGTAATCAGCTATCTTTTTGTAGTGTCAATAGAAATTATATTTGGCCAAAAAAAAGGAAAAAGAATAACAGAGTATATACGTAAAAATATTTTTCTGACTATATTTAGGAATATCATTCTTTTACAATTATTGCTGTGAATTTTTTTAAAGTATTTTAGTTGTAAATAAAAATAAAACTTATATATATTTTTGTTTTATTTCAGGTGAAAATCAAAGTAATGAAAACTGGATTAGTTGAAGCAATGAGTTAAGGATCAGTGGGTCAAATTGAGATCAAACTAGTAAGAAATAAAAAATAAAAAGCTAATTTAAGTTTTCGTCCTACCATCTAAGAACTAAATATTAGTTCATTGCCTTGAATTACAAACAAAATAATCACAGTTACAAAGTTTTTCCAACATTCTTTACAATTTTTTTGACAAATTAACATCATAGTATCATATTAAAAAGATCACTATAGATTAATCATAGCAAAATATCAAAATAGATATATGATAACAAAATATTCCTGCCTACAATCTATTAATCACTAAGCTAATAGTTATCAATAGCTTATGGAAAAAAAAAAAGGTTTTTGGCTCAAAATAGCTTTTTTTTAATTAAAAAAAAAAAAAAGAGCAACCAGGTTAACCCACCAAAGCAGGCTGGTTAACTGGGTTGCTCCTGATTTGGTCTGGTTTATACCGGGTCACCCTCTCAAATCAATTTAACTTCGATCTACATGCTCAACAAGACTAACTACTTGGCCGATTTGCCAATTTTCGGTTGAACCGGTTAAACTGGTCTGGGTTTCTATACTAAGCTGCAGTGAAAATATTATGGGATGAGGAAACTTTTGTTTTTCTAATGTGGAAAAGTTTTCCCTTGTATTGAAAAGACCTTTGAAAAATAAGAGAAAATGGACCAAGAAATCTCAACAAGTTTTGTGTAGTTGACTTATTTTTCCATGAAAATATAGTTAATCAACGTGTCTAACATAGGTGGAAAAAGTTAGCCAGTAAGCCAACTACGTTTCCACTTTCTCAAAATTTTAATAATGTAACATTAATAATAAAAAAATTATTAAATAATTTTATTTGATAAAATTTAAATAATTTGTCAATGGGCAATCCTATAAAGCCCAAAACGCGTTCGAAGAAATTCTCTGGATCCAACAAAAACATCAAGTGAAGGGAAGTTATTTGTAGTTATGATCAATGGGGCACCAGCAAACTTCGTACTACTGCATATTCGCTTATTTTTCATGAAATTTGAAAGAGTTTGTCATAAAAAAGAATGTGCAAGCTTTTGTTTTTATTTGAGAATCAATTATACTACTAACTAGCAATTTACCCCGCAAAATGCGTGGATGAACTCACTCTAACACATTAATGAGATATATACTAACCCACGTGCTTCAAATATAATACTACGAATTCATGTCCAAGTACTATACGAAAACATTAACATGACATCACTAACCATCAAATGATTACCAATTGCCTAAATGGGAGTTAGTTCGAGTACAAAATTATCAATCACCGCATGCTATTTACTTATAGAAAACTGCACGCCCTACATCAAGATTTTCCTAGAAAAATGTGATTCCATTAAAATATTGAACAACTATTACTAATGAAATCATACAAGACTAACTCAGAAAACTCTTATTTTAGCTTTTTATTTGTACACCTCTTTAGTTAGCCAAAAAGTAACGCAAGTAATTTGATATTGACATTCAGGAGGAGTTTAAACATCTTAATATTTTGATGTTTTACCTCACTGCAATGAGCACAAAACATTAAAAAAAAGGACGTATCATAATATATTTAATTTGCATTTTGTTTGATTGGATATTGTTATGGTTTCACAATGATTATAATATGATCATGAATTGCATAACAATTATAAAAAGAGGAAGCATTACTATATCAAAAGAAGTATTCTTCATTCGAAATGATGAACATTAAGTACTAAACATCATAGTTTAAAAAAAAAAAAAAAAAACCTTTGGCGCGATCGCGTGCAATACACGTGAGAATGATTTTTCTAAACAGCAATGCCCTTCTATTACAGTAATCAACACCAACCCAAGCATCCAAACCATATAATTATACTTTAGTGCTGCCAATTCTTGCATCTTTTTTCAAATCTTATTGATTAGTTTGAAATAAAAAAAGAATCAAACAGATGATATTTAAGATCAGAACGAAAATTAAGCCTGTGGAATTAACTAATAAACTTTAAAAAAATAAATCAAAATGAAAATTGAAAGGAAAAAAACAAAAGTAGGGGAGTTATCAGCTATGCTAATCTCCTCCTTTCCAAGCAGGGGCAGGGGTTAATAAAAAACTTATATGAGCCAACTTTACGTGGGAGACAATCAATCTGAAAATTCAAAGCGCACATCACTTGGAAAGGGGAAAAAAATATAGGCAGGAAATTATAAGAAAACACTGGAACAATACCACTTACATGACCTTGGTATCTGTAACGTCCCAAAATGCATAAAAAATATAACTTCTGCGGCATTATCTGTTTACGGAGATGCATCAACAATAATTCCAACTGACCAAGTTAAGTTGACGAAAGAATATCATGTAAGGTTAATATTCTTCTTGACTTTCCATGATGCATGCAAGTCAATTACTAATTTTTTTTAAAAAAATTCTCAACATTTATGCATGCAGTGAAGTTTTGAAGACATCAAGTTGTAGCTAAGTAACTTAACTGAATCTCTCTGCCTCGTATATATCACACACCAACTACCTTAACTTATATACTCATTCTTACATATAATTTCTGTAACAATATCAAACTGATGTCTCAGCTGCTACTTAATGCTCCAAATATTAGTGTATTCCATCATTTTTCTAGTGGATCCAGATCTTCTATCTCTGATAGCTAACATAATGGCCAATAATAAAAAGTGTGAAAATCTCTAAAACTATAATGTGACTACTCAAACTTCATACTGAGCCTACTACTCATACAATTGATTTGAACAGTCGCCAACTACTAAATCCTGAGCCTACCATATGAAAAGGGTGAACACTTTGCTGGTACTTCGATATGGTCTCACATCTTCACACAGCTCAAGATGCACAGATGAAAGCAACATTGAGCTCCATAATGATATCTTTAAGCTAAGTTTTTTATCATTGTTCCACAACACCTAGTAACTTGCTTGAAAATACGCATCCATTGACGGACTATGAATCATAATGATGACCATGCCTTCACATTGTTCAGTAGAATGATAAAATCAGCAGGACTGGCACATAAACACAGATTTACTAAACCATCAAGAGTCTTTTATGTTTGTTGGTAATTTACAGCGGTTAGTCCTTCTTTGTTTCTTACCTGCACAACCATAATTTGCATGTCTTTTTCAACAAAAGAATATAACAACTATTGCATGCCAACTTTCATGACCATTAAATCTGATATTAAAAAAAAAAAAGCTAAATAAATCAGTTATTGCATGAAGTCTATATCCCACATTCTACACAATATATCTGCAGTTAATAAGATTAATGATGTAATATTAATAAATATAAGTTAGTAATGGTTTCCTTAATATAATCCCATGTATTTAGCTATGGTATATAATATTTAATAAAATAATCTTATCAGACCTTAAATCACCTAATTTTATTAAGTCCACCATCACAAACTATAGTGTTCATATTCTGTTGTGATATATCACTTCAACGCTCATAAAACGTGGTCCAAAAATAATAAAATACTCATATGGTAATGTAGTGGATGTGATCACTACCATGGTACTACGTAAATATAGATAATGACAAAACAACCTCAATATGAATAAATTAAACTAATGCAACTCCGATTACTGTTGGATAGCATTGAATAATTTGTTGATAACTCTCTACATAATCTATGATGGTAACACTTGCATTTGATTAGATCATAACTATATTTAATTAAAAAGACCAAAAGTGTATATGGATAATTTTGCTTCAATTACATCTATATATAACATAAGCTAAACATTCAGAAAATCAGTCAGTTACTATTATCTATAATTCAATAAACATAATATCTTCTAATATAATTTGGTAATGCGTGTGGCAGCAAAATGCGCTTCAAATCCCAAGACAGACACTCATGTTTCACATCTAATTTTTTCTGGCTATAATAACTCCATACACGTGATTCTGAAACATAACTTATCCTGCAACCACAATCAGCTTTTTTCACTTTTTGCTGCAACTTAAACAAATATAAAGAACACAAGCAACCTACCTTCCCTCATTTCACATAGCAAGTAAGGTCAACTTATTTTCTAAAATTCTGACATAGGGCACAATTTGACACTTCCAATAAAGTGGAAA